TTAACAACTCGTAATATTTTCAGGTCCTTTTTCAGCTCCCCATAGTATACCCATCCAAGCATTTGGACGGGGGAACCTGAAACCGCTTTCAGAAGCTTCAACCACTTCAGATCATTTCAGAGTTTTGAGGTCTCTCCATCTGAAACTCCTAAAATGATATGAAGTGGCTGAAAATCTGAAAGCAGTTTCAGGTCCCCCCATCCAAGCATTTGGACGGAGGAACCTGAAACCTCTTTCAGAAGCTTCAGCCACTTGAAATCATTTCAGAGGTTTCAGGTCTCCCCACCCAAAACTCCTGAAATTATCTGAAGTCGCTGAAAATCTGAAAGCGGTTTCAGATGCCCTCATCCAAACATTTGGATGGGGGGACCTGAAACCACTTTCAGAAGTTTCAGCCACTTCAGATCATTTCAGAGGTTTCAGGTCTCTCCATTTGAAACTCATGAAATAATGTGAAGTGGTTGAAACTTTTGAAAGCGGTTTCATGTCCCCCCATCCAAACATTTGGACGGAGGGACTTGAAAATGCTTTTAGAAGCTTCAGCTACTTCATATCATTTCAGAGGTTTCAGGTCTCCCCACCTGAAACTCCTGAAATGATCTGAAGTGGCTGAAAATGTGAAAGCGGTTTCAGATGTCCCCATCCAACCATTTGGATAAGGAGACCTGAAACCACTTTCAGAAGCTTCAGCCACTTCAAATCATTTCAGGTTCCAGGTCTCTCCATCTGAAACTCCTGAAATGATATGAAGTGGCTGAAGCTTCTGAAAGCAGTTTCATGTCCCCCCATCCAAGCATTTGGACGGGAGGAACTGAAACTGCTTTCAGAAGCTTCAACCACTTCATATCATTTCAGAGGTTGCAGGTCTCCCCACCTAAAACCTCTGAAATGATCTGAAGTGGCTAAAAATCTGAAAGCGGTTTCAGATGCCCCATTAAACCATTTCGTTGGGGGGACCTGAAACCACTTTTAGAATCTTCAGCCACTTCAGATCATTTCAGAGGTTTCAGGTCTCTTTATCTGAAACTCCTGAAATGATTTGAAGTGGCTGAAAATCTGAAAGCAGTTTTAGGTCCCCTCATCCAAGCATTTGGACGGGGGGACCTGAAACCGCTTTCAGAAGCTTCAGCCACTTCATATCATTTGAGAGATTTCAGGTCTCCCCACCCGAAACTCCTGAAATGACTTGAAGTGGTTGAAAATTTAAAAACGGTTTCAGAACCACTTCTGAACATTTCAGAGGTTTCAGGTCTCCCCGCCTTAAACTCCTGAAATAACATGACGTAGCTGAAGATTCTGAAAGCGGTTTCAAGTCCCCCTACCCAAACATTTGGATGGGGGGACCTGAAACCACTTTCAGAAGCTTCAGCCACTTCAGGTTATTTAACAGGTTTTAGGTCTCCCCACTCGAAACTCCTGAAATGACTTGAAGTGGCTGAAAATATGAAAACGGTTTCAGATGTCCCAATCCAAAAATTTGGATGGGAGGATCTGAAACCGCTTTCAGAAGTTTCAGCCACTTCAGGTAATTTAAGAGGTTTCAGGTTCCCCTCCCGAAACTCCTGAAATGACCTGAAGTGGCACACAACATCGTTGACGGTTGAACCAAAACAAAAACAGGTGAAAAAAAAACGAAAAAAAACATAAAATCTGACTTTCAAACCACCTGAATCTCCTGAAAAGACCTGAATTGTCTTCATGCCATTTCAACGATTTCTGCTAACAGACTTCATAATCTTTCATTCTAAAATTTCAGTAGGTCGTTAACCACTTGTGCCTGGCCCCGCACCCCCGCCCCCGCCCCTGGTCCCGGCCATCCCCGGCCCCGCACCCCGCTCAGCCCCGCCCCCGACCCCGCGCCCAGGGCCACCCCAGGCTCACCAGGGGTGGGTGTAGCCCCGGAGGGGACCCGAGGTGGGGCCAAAACTGCATTTTTGCAGTTCAACTCAGGGGGTGCATGCTGTCGTTGCGCACCCCCCTGTATTTTTTTTTTTGGGGGGGGGGGGGTCCGGAGCCAGGGCTCGACAACCCTGGTTGTACATATGGAGGATTACGGCGTATGTTTCCCATTGAGATGATTTTTTTAGTGATATGAGAATCGAGATTATATAAGATAGCATGTGTATGCTGAGGACACTCTTCTTTGACCTTGACACTCGGATTTTAGTACTTGTATCGGTGACGCTTCTAACATTACGGTTGAAAGTGACATTGATTGATCCGAGTGACTTATGAAGTTGGGCTACTATGTGTGTTTTTGGATGAGATATCTCATCCCTGAGTGTATTTTTGAGTTGAGTTCTATCTGAGACCATTCCCTGTATATGACGATCACAATCACTCCCACATGTGTGGTTTTATCCTGATGTATGATGACTTCGTGTGAAAGATGTATGAGAAACATCTCGTATGCTGTGTATCTCGTGAATGTGAATGGGTGTGAACTGTCTACTCTTCGGTATACTCGTACGATCTGTCCACGAGCGGGTGATAGGGCCGGGTATAAGGAGAGGGAGTGCAGTCTGTTTTGTAAAAAGTGTGAGAATCCTAAGGGATTTATGAGTCTTTGAAACTCGAATGCTTACCATGCCAAATGTTTATTGATTGAGTTGTGATGACGATCCATAAGTTGATCTCTCGGTTTGGGTTGTTTTATGGTTGAGACACCTTCTAGTGAAAATATAGTCTTGTGCTTATTTGGAATATCATCTTCAGATGGGGAAGATATTTTAAAAGAAAGACCGCATGAGAGTTCATCCTAGAAAGAGAAGGGATGATTGGGAGACCTATTGAGTGAGACCTCCTTCATATGAAAGGTGGTTAATAGATTTAATGGCATGGAAAGCTGATTTTGAATGATAAAGTCCGGCGAGAAGTACCACGTTTTGTTTCGCTATTGGCGAAATTTTGGAGATCGCAAAAGTGATTTATTTGGGAGATGTCGCTGAGAGGAGGTTTTTTGCCCTGATCAAGTTGGAAGGTCACGACATTGTGAATCTGACGGTGATTTTGTTTTGTGAATATGGAGAGGTTGCCGTGTTTTCTCTGTGTTGTCCTACAGAGGACTGGTAAATACCTTTTATGTGTGACTGACCTTTGCGTAGTCCCGCAGTAGGCATGTATTGTTGCCACACACCGGCCAGCGACTTGTGCTGATCTTAGGGCGTTTATGAGAATACCAAGCTAACAGTAAAGTTTAGCATCACTAGGGCGCAACCCCTAGTGTCGGCTGCTGATCAGCGTAACCTGAATAGCAGGTCTACGTCTTGCCAAGGGAGTAAAGACTTAAAGGGGTGTGGTCACCGCGGAGGGTTTTACTCCTGCAGAACGGCGTGAGATAAGAGTCGAGTCGAGTCGAGTATTTTTTAGTCCTGATTGCATGCTATCAGGAAATAATCTATCGTGGCGCAACCTGCGAAGGCACCACCGCTAAAATAACAACGCGGTGAACCGTAGATCTGGCACGATCACCCAGACTATGGTGGGCCAGGATGGAGACCTGACCTTGCTAGACTGCAGGAAGAGTCTACGATGAGATTTCTATAAATATATATGTTTGATTGCGAAATTTGTGGGAGGGAAGCAAGAATGCTTTCAAAGGTCTCGGTTAGGGCCCACGTCCCTGGTTATGACCCTGCTTGTAGGGTAGAGACTAGGGACACCTAACGAGAAGCCGGCGTTTGTCTAGGACAAAGGGGAGAGGACAGTTGAGGAATCCAGTTAAGGCTAATGTTGTAGTATAGTGATGAGTATCTCACTTTTCTAGTTTCAGGATGATGGGGACCCATTGAAATCCTAGCAGCATAAAGTTGTGTTTGGACTGGATTGATGGAGACCTCGAACTCGAGTCTGTTCGCTGATTGGATTGGTTCCTTTCTCGTGAGCATTTGAAATTTTGGATGGATTTGTAGT